TGAAACGCGTTACCGACACGTCAGCAAGCTCCGGCTGAAAACAACACATCTGAATACACAACAGCCAGATTAACAGTTCGACTTCATCGTCTTTACGCGTTGAATTATGGACAGACAGCGTTGAATGATTGGGAGATTGACTGCAATGCACTTATATTTGATTAAAAGCTTCACAACAATGTAAAACATGATTCAGCAGAAGTAAACACACATATCCAATCAGCAAAGGTTCATGTACTCTAATGTAAAGAAAATAGAAAATACCCTCACATGTATGGAGTTACATTTGTGCCACAAGTCAGTGCAGACGTGATTTTTGCCATGTGACAATCAATCTACTTCTTCCTATGCTTAGAATTGAAGCACAAATGACTCTCCGTAAGTCAGAGCAGCATCTGCTGTGCTGATTAACTCCGCGCATGTTGGTGCCAGTTTCCTCCTAAGGGTGAGGGAAGGAAACTCTTCTTTGTTGGTACAAGTTGTTGCAAGCATCGTTTAGCTGTACACACAATAGGTGTCGAGAGAAAGCCACCTGCTCCCGGTTCCCTTTGTTCTCATTAATATTACATGTCGTAAATGATGCAAAGCTTTCAGGGAATTACATCTTTAAAGAACAAAACGGAACAACATAACACACACACACACACACACACACACACACACCAGTGTTTGTATTGATTTTGCTTCCTGTTTGTTCCCTTTTCAGAAACTTGTCAAACTTATCAAGATTTCCATCTGTTCAGTTACTTTTTGTGATTCTGCATTAATTCTGCACGTAACACATTTGTGATGAGTACACATCTTTCAGGATACCTTTGAAAAGCCCACACAGACGTGCAGAAAGACCTCAGTGCAGCCAAATAGGTGGTGGAGGATGGATTGTCGTGCTTGCTCCCATTTTAGTGAACTGCTAATTCTTTCAAAGAGACACCGAGGTCTTCCTCTCAGGTGTCGCTAATCCCCTAAACATCTGATCGCGTCAGAAAGTTGCAGTTGCAGTTTGTAGCAATGCTATGGATGCGGTCTCCTTCCTTACAGATGTTGATGCTGTGTAATTTTGTTTTGTTTCCTTCCTTCACCTGGATGCTGAGGTCATGCCAGC